GAACGTTTCCCAAAGATCAGAGGAACGTTTCCCAAAGATCAGAGGAACACTTAATATAAAACTTAAGTCTTGAATGAATACAGGAGGAAATAAGACAAGAATTTATCTTTAAAAATACTTTTTTCATTTTGTGTTATTTAATGTAGAAATATATCATGTTTTTCATAATATTTATCAATAACATCATTTTTTCATTCATGTAATTTTGTATCAAACGGCTCTCCGTACTTCTTCACAACCTATGATGTGGATCAATGAATCTGCATGAAGCAGAAAAATGAAGCTCGGTCGGCGCTGCGGCGCTCAGAGGGAGCAGAATCAGAACATCTAAGGTTCTGCAGCCGGACTGACCTTGGTGGGGAAATATCTTTTGGTCTTCAACTGTTTGAGGAAGGAGGAGAGGAAGAAAGTGGTGAAGAAGAGGATGACGGACCAGAAGAGGACGTCAGGAACATAAGGCCCGTTGCTGCTGCATGCCGACCCCATAAACTGTCCCTTCCAGTTCCTGCATTCCTGCAGAGACGGAGAGAAAGGAGTTACTGCAGTACCTCTGGCCTCCACTAGATGCTGCTGCTGCTCCACTAACTGGAGTCAGAACGGAGGTTCTGCTGCTGTCTGACCCGGTGATGCTGGTTCTGGACCAGAGCAGATAAACCGGTTTGTGAGACAGACCTTCACACTCAGCTGCTCCCACTCGATGGTGTCTAACGTCAGGTTCATGCTGCTCCAGAACCTTTGGACCTCAGCAGACGCGTTGGAAGGAGGAGAGCAACGACACCTGAACCAGAAGAGAACCAGAAGGTAAGAACCCACCAAACCTCTGACAGACAGCCTGGAGACCAAAACGCCTCCAGAAACTTCTGGATCTCCAGGGCTGGATCAGGGGTTCTGGAGTCGGTCTGAGACGTGCGGATCGGCCTGCTTACGTGTAGAAGGTGAGATTGTCCAGCTGGTTGTGCATGTTAATGGGGAACTGCTCCCCCAGGTGGACCAGCTTGGCCAGCGCCTCGTAGATGAAGATGATGCAGATGAGGGCGGCGAACGCCTCCTCTGTGAAGCGGGTGATGTAGCAGACCAGGGCGCTGGCGTCAGTGGCGACCAGCAGGATGCAGAGGAAGGCCGTCCACAACCCGATGCTGGTCCTCAGGGACAGGTAGCACAGCTGGAACTCACTGCGGATGAAGGGGGACGGTGAGTTAGTTAGGCTCCTCTCCTGTGGAACCAACTACCAGTTTTAGT